ATTATTTTATTTATTTATTTTTTTTTTTTTTTTGTATTTCTTTTTCTTTTTTCCTTTAATAAATAATTTTTATTTATTACTATTATTATTTAATTTATTTATTATTTATTTATTTATTATTTATTTATTTATTTATTTATTATTTATTTATTTATTTATTATTTATTTATTTATTTATTTATTATTTAATTTATTTATTATTAATTAAATATAATAAAATTCAATTATCTAAAAGGGAATAAAAAAGGAAAAAGGATAAACCCTAAACCCTAAACCCTAAACCCTAAACCCTAAACACTAAACCCTTTTTTTCTTCCTCCATAGGGAGAGACAATACAGACAACATAAATGCGATGCATTTGCTGCTGTTGCTGCTGTTGCTGCTGTTGCTGCTGTTGCTGCTGTTGCTGCTGTTGCTGTTGCTGCTGTTGCTGTTGCTGCTGTTGCTGCTGTTGCTGCTGTTGCTGCTGTTGCTGCTGTTGCTGCAGCAACATATTTTGCCATATCTGTAAGATTGACAGCTGCTGCTGTTTGCATGCATCTTCGCAGCAGCAGCAGCAGCTGCTGCTGCTGCTGCAGCTGCTGTTGCTGCTGCTGCAGTTTCTTTGCCTTTCCTGCATTCTTCTAGAGTCTTTTGTATTATCATCATATGCAGCAGACTATACAAACAAAACAAAGCCCCAAAATATGCATGCATGCATGTATGCATGCACGCAAAAAAAAGCCCCAAAATATGCATGCATGCATGCATATTTATTGGTGATTGTCTCTGGCTCTCTCTATGGGGCTGGTTTCTCTGTCTTTATTACTATTATTAGTATACTACTTAATTAATTAATTAATCTATTTATTGTTTATTTATTTATTTATTTATTTATTTATTTATTTATTTATTTATTTATTTATTTATTTATTTATTTATTTTTTGTAGTACAAAGGAATCCAATGGCGAGACAGAAGAGAAAATCTTCGGGTGTAGCAGCAGCACACCTTCCTTGTTGCTGCTGCTGCTGCTGCTTGCTGCTGCTGCTGCTTGCTGCTGCTGCTGCTTGCTGCTGCTGCTGCTGCTGCTGCAGGGATATATATCCTAACATAGTAATCTATCCTTAAATTTGTTTCTTTCTTGTTGTGTACAGCATACACCCCATAGCAGCAGAGCAGCAGCAGCACAGCATGCATGCAGAGCAGCAGCAGCACAGCATGCATGCGGTGCAGCAGCAGCGCAGGCTGCATGCGGAAACAACGGTCAATCCTTTGCTGCTGTTGCTGCAGCAGCAGCAGCAGCAGCAAGAATTGTTTGTTGTTGCTGCTGCATTTATTAGTTAAAGGGAGGGTATAAAGGGGAATAAATAAATAATATATATATTATATATAATAATAATATATAATATATATAATAAATAAATAAAATAAATATATAAATAAATATTTGCTTTATTTATAAATAAATGTACCTTATTTATTTGCGGTTAGACGATTAGACGATTAGGGTTTAGGGTTTAGGGCTTAGGGTTTAGGGTTTAGGGTTTAGGGCTTAGGGTTTAGGGTTTGAGTGTTATCATCATGACTACAGCAAACACAATAAGAGAAGAAAAGAAATAATTATTTATTAATTATATAATTAAATGAATATATTTTTATGTTTATTTATTTTTTTATTTATTTTTTTATTTAAATTATTATTTATTTCCTTATAAGGAAGAAAACATACAGCATAAGAGGGAAGGGGGGGAGGGGGCCCCCTTGGTACCCGCCTGTGTTATATTGCCTTATAATAAGGAGGTAGAGGAGAAAAAATGTATAAATAAATTATTTTTCTTTTTATTTATTTATTTATTTTATTTATTTTCTTTTTTTTTCTTCTTTTTTTTGAATTTTGGTGTTATTTTATTGAGGTGTACATACACCTCAGCACTGCTGACGACAGAAACAGAAAACACCGCGGTGTATATGGAGGTGATTCGTCTTTTTGGTGCTAATTTTTCTTTATTATTATTAAATAAATAATTATTTATTTATTTATTTTAATTGTTACTCAATATGCAACAAACTTTCCCCTTAAATGGCTGCTGCACGCCCGATGCAGCAGCAACAGCAGCAGCAGCAGCGTCAGCAAGCAGCACCGCCAGCAGCATAACCAACAGTACACAGTATAATAACAACAGCAACAGCAGCAAAACCATCAACAGCAGCGGCAGCAACAGCAGCAGCAGCAACAGCAGCAACAGATTACCTTGTGGTTGTATAATATCTTCTTGTGTACCTTCTCTCTCTCGTCATCATCCTCTCTTTTCCTTAGGGGAAAGAATAAAAACAAAAGAAGGGCATGCAGGTACTATTAAATATATAGGTCTATTAAAGGAACAAATAACATACACAGAGGGGCCCCCAGAGGGCCCCCCAGGGGGGCCCCAAGAGGGGCCCCCAGCGGAAATACCAGGGAGGCCACCAGAGGTGCCCCGAGAGGGGTGCCCAGAGGGTCCTATCGGCTCAGTGGAAG